AATATATATATATATATATAATTCATTTGTTTGTCCGTGTTATACACGAACTTAAAACTATTTATTTTAATGTATACAATAATGTTATCATTCAAACATTGATTTTCTATTCAATTAGGCAAACGAATTTTTAAAATGTTTATTGCCAAAAATGCTCTCTCTATTACAGCAAAGGCAATCGATTAATCTCAACGATAAATAAGCTGAACCAATAAATTTTTTTGGATTTATCTAAAACTAAAACACACGTAATTTCAAAATTTTTTTTATCTTAACGGGGGCCACCGGACTTATATAGCTCTGCCCCTATCATATACATATATATATATATATATATATATATTAATTTCTAATATACCATTGACCTTTCTATCTCAATTTAACTTATTTCAATTTACATGTGCTTTAGAAAGATATCTTGCGTCTTAATTATTAAAACAATATAGTTAATATTGTATTGTTGAACGTATTATTTTTGTTATGATATTATAACATACAGGTACCAATGTGTTTCTGCGTACCATTTCGAATTTATAGTCATTATCTAATATTTTGCTTATATAAAAAATATATAGACATATTCAAACACTTCTCTATTACATACATATATAGATTTTAAAAATTATAAATAATTAATATAAAAATTTTCAAAACTAAAATAAATGAAATGAATATAAAAATATTAGAAAAAAATAGCAAATTATTGTTTAATAATCTAATTTAATGAACACATATTTTTAAGTTTAGATGAAATTATGAAAAAATTTAAAATATTAAGGAAAAAAATTCGAAATTGATTAAAAGAATAAAAAATATATATTCAGTTGCCATTACGTAGTTGGACCCTACAACATAAAAAATCAAAATTTAAGGGAAGATTTTATTTATTATTTAAAGGAATTGGGAAAAGATTTTAATGATCTATATCTTTCAAAGCAATTTGACCTTAGCTGCCACAATTCTTTATGTGCCTCAAGTTTACAATGCTAATAATATGGTAACCGATTAAATAAATGTGTTGTAAAAATTCTGTTAAAAATCTTTATGGAACAACTTGGGCTTGACTTGTAAGTACTAAAAGTTGGCAAGAATTTAAATAAAATTTGAATTTTAAGTCTTCAAATATTGATTTCCGAAAAAAAAATTTGTTTTTTCCTTTTTTTATTGGATGGGTTGGGAAAGGGAAATTATTTTAATTAATCTTGTAAAAAACATTATTAGCCTAAAAAAAGTTTGACCAATTTTAAATCACTCAATGTGAAACCAGAAATTTGCAATATCAATATATATACACATATATATATATATAACTAAATCATGTTAATTCTATGTGAAAATTTCTTACAAAAATGAAATAGAAATTTTTATTTGAGATTAAAATGTAATAGAGATTCAAAAAAGTTTTGTTTTTCATTTTTATTTTTATCTTTTATTTTCAGTTTAACTTATTTTTCATTAAAAATAAAATAAATAACAAAAATATTAATCAAACAAAACCTTAATCTCTCATTAAATATTAAATTTTTTTACCATAACCCTAGAGAAGACATAAGTATTAAGTAACAATAGTAATTTATCTCAACAAAAAAGTAACAGTAGTAATTTGGTTGCCAACATGTCGACTGATAAGGAAATTGCGAGATGTGAAATGTCCAATCCTCATTTTTCTGGCCAAATTTTCTTGATCATTATCACCAAAATTTTGACACGTATACAAATTATATTACATGGCCAATAATTTAACGAAAAGTTACATTAAAATTTTCAAATTTTATAAATAAAGTTATTATAATAACAAATATATTTAACCCACATTTAAAAAATTAAAAAAAAGGGATATGTATTAATCTTTACGTAGATGTTGTGAACTTAAAAAATTATAAGTAATAACTCTAATTTAACATTTGCAAAAATTAATTATAACATTATTCATTTTTGGGACAGAATTAGCAATGGTTTTTGGTAACCCACATATCGACCAATCGGACGCCTTGGATGTGAAATGCTTGATTCTGGTTTCGTCTCCGTGCTCTCTCGACCTTCACCACCAGATCACGACGCGCGTTAGATCTGTCTCAGTTTTGATCGTGACAGTCACAAACTGATTGTCACTGACAATGACGTGTTTTAAGGGAATAATTTTCTAATGGGCCTTAGGCCCCCAGTCCTCTCTAGTCTTCACACTCGCGAAGCTACCACGTCTTTTTCATCCGTACTATTGGGTCCCACGTTCAGAAGAATGATTTGACGTGGCATGAATTCCAAACGATGTCTAATCGATTTGAATTAAATTGAATTAAATTTATTAATTTATTAATTTTATATATTATTTTAATATAAAATTTTAATATATTTAAATAAATTTTAATATAAAATTATTATTTTTATTTTATAAAAATTTATAATATATATAAATTAATATATATATAATTTGGTTTAATTTAATTTTTTTAATTTTTTATTTAAAATATGATCTAAATTTAATTATACATTTAATATTTAAATTTAATTTAAATCAAATAAAAAAATTCAATCCAATTCAAATCAATTTTTTAATTTTTTAATTTTTTTCTCGCCGTAACTCAAACCCATCTGGTTGGTTAAATGAGAAGATGCAGTCTGCCGGCAAGAACTCACCGCTAACTCAGATTGATCTGGCTGGTTAAACGAGAAGATGCAGCCTGCAGGTAAGAAAAAGTAATATCTCAATTTTTTTAAAATTCAAATTTAATTCTTTAAATTAAAAATTCATATATCTATGAATCAAATGTTTTAATACTTTGATTTTATAAAAAAATTATTATTACCTGTATCTAAAAGAATACTCAAAGACAATATTTCAAAATAAAAAATTGATATGACTCAAAGTAAAAAATTGTTAGCACTTATTTCATAAATAAAAAAATTAAATTTAATGTAAAAAAATATTTTAAAATCAAATTGAATCAAATTAAATTCGATTAATATTTTAAAATTTTTATTCAAATAACCCAACTTGTTAACAAGTATACCAACAAAGTTAATTTAGAGCTTTTTCATAGATCAATGAATCTATATATTGGAACTAAGATACAGTTTATTCAATTCTAATTACGGAAACAATAAAGTTTCATTGAACAATATAATCTCAGATAACACTGCAAAAAAAATTGTACAAAGAATTAATTAGCAAGAAGGCTAATCACTTTCTGGCAACAGCTTTCTTAGTGGAGTCCTATAAAAGAAATTATAAAACATTCCAATTCCATAAAGGTCAGGCATTTCTAAGGTTTAATTCCAGAGTTTTCTAAGTTGGAAAAGAAGATAGCTAATCTTTATCCAATTCATAACGAATACTATATAAATTCAGGCAATGGAAAAATTGGAAAAGAGTTTAGAATTTAGCAAAATCATATACACAAATGAAATTTTTATACGTATTTCCATGTGAAAAAACGTGTGCATGATTTGGCACTTAATTTAATTTCAAAAGCAAATTAAAGATTAAAATGATTTCTATATAAATCATCGTTTGGTTTTTGTTGTAATTTCAACAAATTTCATTTTAAAAACATCTAACATTAGGCTGCGATGGAAATTCAATCATTCGATATTATATGATCAAAATGAATTGGAAGAACAACACAAGAAGCAAATAACTGCCACGTTTCATGTTCACTTTATACGGAATTGGGTGTGTTCATGCATACACAGCTAACCTAAAAGAGATCCTTTACACGATTAATGATTCAAGTATTGGAGAAAGACTTACATGAAATTTTACAAGTGAATTTTGTAAAACTTTTTAGTAAAAATGAGTAAATAAAAATTTAAAATTGATATATTAAAATATTTTATTACATAGATCAAGTGTATAAAATTTAAAAAAATTTTAATAAATTTTGATATATTTATTAAATAGATATTTTTAATAAAAATATTAATAAAATTTTTACTGTTGAATAATTATTAATCAAATTTAAGTTATAAATAACATTTTAAATAATTTTTTTACATATAATTAATTTTCACATTAAACTCTATGAATCTATTAGTTTAAATTTTTTATTAAATTTTTATTAAATTAATTTTTTTAAAAAAAATTTCACGAACTTCACTTAAATAACTTCAGGTAAGTTTTGTCCTCAAGTATTGTACCAATGATGAATTCTTTTCAGCCAACTTGATTTCCTTTTAAATTTTGGAATAAATTTAGTTATTTGACAGTAGAATTGAATTAGTTACAAAGATTTTATTTATATAAAGAATCAACCGTTGTTATGAAAAATTGAATTAAAATTGAATTAAATTGATTTATATAATCATTTTTAAAATATTTCAAAATAGATTTAAAGTTTTTTTATCAAAAAATAGATCTAAAATTTAAATCCTAATACCTGAAACATTTTACTCTATCCTTAAATTGAATCTCGTTTATATATTTAAAAAAAAAAATACAACTTAATATTTTTACTTGTAAAAAACTAGGGTCCTTATTTTTTTTTCCTAACAATTCATTTCGTAGGCAAGAACAAACTTTATCTTTCAAATCAAAAGCCAATCCAGTATTAAAATTAACCCTCAAATTATTAATGAAGTAAACCTTGTTGAATTGTAACCATTTGCTGTAGATCTCATTAATGACTATGACTTTCTTCAATAACAAGTAATTAAAAAATATTGGACAGAAGCTTACCCCTTTTAGCAACCTGATTTTGCAAGTCGACCCAGGACTCTCCTTCAATCCTTTTACGTGATTTGCTTTTTGTCCTCACTCACTCAGCTGGTCAATTTAATTCATTGATCTTCATCAAGGCATGAGTAATTTCTAGGACTCACTCTCTTTCTTTCTTTCTTTCTTTCTTTCTTTTTTCAACTACAAAAGATGACGTGATGAATGTAATACTAGAGCAAGCTAGTGTCAATTAATGTTGTATATATTTATTTATATGATATGAAATTATTACAAATCAAACTATCAAAAGCCAGCAATCCTTCCAAAACCACAAAACTAATCGTCCCCTTCAACTTTCTCTCTATATAAACACCCAAACCACCTTATCTTCTCCCCCCACGGATATCATCTTCACAACAAAGCATCTTTCACCATTTTCACTGATCCTTTTGCCATTACATATTGCTCTTGCTGCAACAGCAAATTCTCGTTGGGGAAAGAGGGGGGAGATAAAGAAAGAGAAAGGACAAGAGAGGAAACAGAGAGGCACAACATTTCTTTAATTTCTATGGAGACTGTTTCTATACTTTTACTAAACGTTATTCTCTTTCTCTCCACTCTTCTTTCATATCCATTCCTAAGGAAGCAAAAGAGAGGACTTTTTCCTATAAAAATATTTAAGCTTCCACCAGGTTCAATGGGTTGGCCGTTTATTGGAGAAACTCTTCAACTCTACTCTCAAGACCCGAATATCTTCTTTTTGACAAAGCAAACAAGGTCTCACCATGAGATGTATTATTTCGTGTTCATTTCCCTTCTCTACTTAAGCTCTCTGCTTTTTTGCATGCAGTATACTAAATTTGGTTGTGTGGTGCCATTTTTTTTCATGTTCAGCTATGGAGAAATATTCAAAACCCACATACTTGGTTGCCCTTGTGTCATGCTGGCTAGCCCTGAAGCTGCAAGGTTTGTGCTGGTGACTCATGCTCACTTGTTCAAGCCAACGTACCCCAAAAGCAAAGAGAAGCTGATCGGCCCTTATGCGCTGTTCTTTCACCAGGGTGAATACCACACTCGACTAAGGAAGTTGGTTCAAAGCTCTCTAGCCCCTGATACCATCAGGAAGCTAATTCCTAATATCGAAGACTTAGTTGTTTCAGCCCTGGAGTCATGGGCTACCTCTGGACATGTTATAAACACCTTTTATGAGATGAAGAAGGTTTGTTTAAAAAGAAAAGCTATTATTAAAAACACTTTGTTTGGATCATGATACTCTAACATGTGGGTTTACTTGACTCTCTACAGTTCTCTTTCGACATCGGCATTCTTTCCATTTTTGGTCACTTAGATAGAGGCTACAGAAAGAAGTTGGAAGAGAACTACCGGATAGTAGATAAAGGTTACAACTCTTTTCCTACAAACATTCCAGGAACTGCATATCACAAAGCATTCCTGGTAAGAACCATTTCCTTTATCGTTATCAAAGAAACGCATCTGATGATCACTCGGAGTAGTGAGTATTACACCAAGAATTGACAAGCGGATGAGTTTTCTTTGATCTGATGTTTTCTTTGATCTGATGCATTCTTTGTCCTATTTTAAAGGCGAGGAAAAGGCTAAATCAGATTCTGGTAGAAATAATTTGTGAGAGGAAGGAGAAAAGGCTGGTGGAGAAGGATCTGTTGGGCCATTTGTTGAACTTCAAGGATGAAAAGGGGCAAACTTTGACCGACGATCAAATAGCTGATAACATCATTGGAGTACTTTTTGCTGCCCAGGACACCACAGCCAGTTTTATAACATGGATTCTTAAATTCCTCCATGATGACCCTAAACTTCTAGCAGCTGTCAAGGTAATCATACAATTCCCTTAAAACTTCTTACAAATTTATCATCAGAGAAAATCAAATTGTCTCAATTTATGATTGCCAAAATCATTACAGGCAGAGCAAAAGGCCATATACGAGTCCAACGATGGAGGAAAGAAGCCCCTAACATGGGCACAGACAAGGAGCATGCCTCTTACATATAAGGTATGTAGTGTTTGAAGTTATGTAGCTTGTTTCAAGAAAAGCAAATTTCAAGAAACTTCAGAGATTTTTCTAATTTTCAGGTTGTACTAGAAAGCTTGAGGATGGCAAGCATCATATCTTTCACATTCAGGGAAGCAGTAGATGATGTGGAATATAAGGGTGATTAAAGGCTAAACTGGAATTTCATTATCTATACTGGATTTAAGGGGCTTTCATTATTTAATATCAACACTGTTGTTTCACTTTTAAATGCACAGGTTACCTAATACCCAAGGGTTGGAAAGTGATGCCATTATTCAGGAATATTCATCACAATCCAGAATTCTTTTCTAATCCTCATGACTTCGATCCATCTAGATTTGAGGTACAGTTTGTAGCAAATTTCCCTTAGGTTTAGTCATTTGGCTTTTGCATGCACACACACAAACACACACAAGCAGCACAATAGGGTAAAAAAAAAAAAAAGCTTACAATTTTTGTTTTTCTGGCTATGGCTTCAAGCAGGTAGCTCCAAAACCCAATACCTTCATGCCATTTGGCAAAGGCGTTCACGCTTGCCCCGGCAACGAGCTAGCCAAGCTGGAGGCTCTCATTTTGATCCACCATCTAGTAACAAAATTTAGGTATATTTACCCCAAATTTTAGTATTACAAAAGATAGGTAGGTCATAATCAATAATTTTGGTCACAGTGGCACAAGATTTTGTTACATTATTGTAGTGCTAAATAATTTTGACAAAGTCTCTTACTGGTTGGGTGTGATGATCTTTTATTGCAGGTGGGGGGTGGTGGGCTCTCAAAGTGGGATTCAATATGGCCCATTCCCAATCCCTCAACAAGGACTCCCAGCCAGATTTTGGAAAGAATCCAGCAGACCTATTCAAGATGTGTGCCCTTATGTTACAGATTTGGGAAAGAGTCCATCCAGCATTACAGCAACCAAAACTTTGCTGCTCCCCTGACCAAACCCTACTATTTTTCACCATGGGGTTTCTTAAATCATATCAGATTTCACCTTGATTTAGTATAATTATTAGCTTCATGTTATTTTTGCAGCTAGTAATTGTAGCTTTGCATTAGAATATGTATATTATTAATTATGAATAAGAAAAAGTGTCTTAATAAGAAAAAATTCATTTCCCCAACAACCCCATCTATAGATGCAGGCCATAGCTCTGTACTTAATTGTTATGAAATGTAACTTCATTTTAACCTCCAACACAATAAATAGGAAATAATATGAAAATATTGCAAGTTTCCACTGGACAAGCAGCACGTGTCAACATGGCATACTGATTCACGTGGCTGTTGGCAGAGAAGTGGTCATAACAAAGACACGTGTCTATCGCTTTGATTGGTCGGGTGAAAAAACAGAGGTGCCCTTGGCTGGAGGGCACATTCTCTGTTCAAGGCACAAAGCTTTGTTCATGTCTGATTGTCTGGTGAAAGAGGGCTCCCTATAGCATAAATTACGTCACGACCGGCCTACCTCTAATTTTTTGGGGTGCAATAAGCCTACCCATACTGTTTTCAACTTTGAAGCTATGGTGCCTTTTCCGGTGGCCCTGATGACAGATCTTTTCTTAAGGCCCGAATCTGCTTACGAATGAGGGCACTCTTGTTGGAATGGCCTAAGAAACAAGTGCAATGCACTAACCAGTGCCCCAAAGTCCTTAGCGCCCACGTTTTATCTGGATTTTTCCAACCAGATTTCCCTTCAAGCAAAAAATTCAGATCAGTAAAATGGTACTGCATAGAAATAGCAATGTGATGAAGGTGCTAGTAGACAATTTGAAAAGAACTAGAGAAACTGAGAGAAAGAAGTTTAACAAGAAAATACTTCACAAAGGTAAGAACAGCTTTGAAGATACCATATCAAAATTGTAGAGATTACAGCAGATAAAAATAAAAACGCAAACTACACTATTCGAAACCAAAGTGCAAACCTCGAAATTTAAGGTAAAACCATCTGAAACAACCTGACTTATTCTGGAAGATGAAGCAACAGAGTGAAAAGCAAAGTAACAGTATTAATAACAATCTTAAGCTTTACTTGGTGGTCATTCCCTATAGATCAATGTTTTGGAGGCTTAATGCCATCCCCATTTTTGTACAATCAATTCTCTATAAGGACAAAGAATACAGCATAAGCATAACAGTGCAAGTTCAGAACATACTGTCAAGGGACCACATGAAAGCAGAAGATCGAATCGTACTTGTTATCCCATTGTGCCTCAAAAATAATTTTAACCAACAACTTAGGTATACAAGTTCCTTTCACCAAAGAACAGATCATTTACTCTAGTGGGGATGAACCTGAAAGTAATACTGATGAAAGTTCAGATTTATACCCAAAACAGACATGTTACTACGGAATCTTATTTCATCATCTGCTCATGGTATCCAGTACAATATAAGAAAAAGCATTGCCATCTTCATCCCTTAAACAGCGTCATCCACATCAAAAACATGAGATGTATCACAACCATCAGCGGCCAGTACTAACACCATAGCACATCATGCTATGATCTTTTAGACTGGGTCCTATTAATAAATAATTAGTCAATCATAGTGCTACAGCTGTACACATATTCACATGGAACTATCAACATCAAGACTATAAGTTCGGCATACCATTAAAACAATTTTATCCTTATAATCATTCACACGCACATGCCACCTACTGCTTGCTTCATTTTATCACGTACTGAAATTATGTTCAGCATTACCATCTATCACAACTGTAACATTGAATATGGATAAATTTTCTTAAGACTAACATGATAACAAAACTGGAGGATAAAACTCAAGATGCTGATAAACTTTTGTTCTTAACCACAGCCATGAGCATCGTACCACTTTGAGTCATGGAAAATATCTTCCTGCATATTTCACCAGAAATTCCAATGATGTGTACGAAATACACTGAAAGGTTGTATTGATTGGTCATAACACCTCATCGAGAAAGTGCCTAACTCCTGTTTAGACAAATCATAGAAATAAATGGTAAGGAAGATCATTATAAGAATGATACTGACAGTTCAACAATTCTTCATTGATCAGACTCCTACAACCAGTATAGCCACATTTTTCAGCTGACTTCATCCCCTTGTTAACAAAAAATCACTCGGTTAAGTTTTAATAATTTAAATATGACACGTTTTATCATACTCTATACAACTATAGCCACATCTTTCAACCAACATCATCCCATTGTGAAGGGATAATCCCATGATTAAGGTTTGATAATATAACTATATCATGTCATTGTCGAGCAATTAGAATGAAAAATGTCTTGATCAAAACAGAATCCCTAATTATCTAAAATAAAGTAGGAAAAAGAACAATCAATTTTGTATGATGAATTTTCATATTTCAACTGTTGAATTTTTCTTTGTAGTAATCTGGCTTTCCAGACTTGCTATGGCTTATGAAACACCTACTTCATGGTTACCAGTTGTCTAACTCTTAGTTTCAATTTCAGAACAATCAAAAGTTTTTGGCTGAATGAGAATGGTAAATCAAAATTTCTAGATCATCATAAGCCCACTAACTGTATCCTAGAAACTCAAAAAATTTGCACAAAAAAAAAACTAGACTTATGACCTTCTTTTATAATTTTTGGAATAGCTAAAATGAAGATCAAAAGTAGAATTTCAATAAGCAAAGTACTCGAATGACAGTCCGTGTTCATATGTTATAAGAGCTATGGATCAGAAATTTATTACCAAAACATGGACTCATTTAACAGATGGAAACACAGGTAATGAAACAACTTCCATCATAATAGAACAATCAAATAATTCGTCAGTAAAAATAGTGTATAAGTAAATTCCAGCATGATGTGGATCATTACAACATGTAAATTAAATCAATTAAATGCTATTGACAATGAAAATACAAGAATTACTGATAAAGCATGTAAAGTTAAAAGCACAAACACGCAAGTGACCTCCCTCCTTGATTCATCTTTCAAAAAGGAAATAATGAAGCTGCCTGCACCTGTTCAAATCCATAAAAAATCAGACAAAATTCAAAGAAAACAGAAAGAGAAAATACACTTTCTAAAATTAACTTGCTTCATTATCTTGTCAACAAACTGTTAACAAACAAGTCTGCGGTTCTGAAGTAAAAAATCACAATAAAATGACAATCCCACCCCAAATCGTCAATCATAATTTCTCTTTTTCTATTTCATGTCTCAAAATCTAGTTCTTTAGATGCCTCATTACAAACGTTCAATTCATAGATCTGAATTTTGTTTTTTAGTCTTTATCAGTAAAACAATGACACATAAAATTTGACCTCGTATCCAAAAATTCTCCTTAAAGCAGATAAAATTCAAAGAAAACAGAAAGAGGAAATACGCTTCCTAAAATCAACTTGCTTCATCATCTCTTCAACAAACAGTTATCAAAAAAGTATTCCATTCTGAAGTTACAAAACACTATAAAATGACAATTCCACCTATCAAAGTTCTCTTCTTTTATTTCATGTCTCAAAATCTAGTCATTCAAATGCCTCATGACAAATAATCGAAGATCCAATGTTCCTTTTTAGTGTTTAACAAATTCAGTAAAACAATTTCACACATAAAATTCGACCTCGTATCTAAAAATTCTCGTGCACTTATTCGTTTCCGTGTAGATCTACGATTAATAAACAAATAAATGATTTTGAGAATAAATCAAAATGAATCTTTTATAAAATAAAAACAGTAAGAAATTACCAAAAAAATGAAGAATTATATTATAAATTATTAGCACTAATTACTAAATTAATCCTGCTAGAGTGAAAAAAAAAAAAAGGTCTTACAGCATTGAAGCTCGTTGGAAAATGCAAATCCGTGAAGCCTAATTCGACCAGAGAAAGAGAGGAATCGTTCGACGTCGTCATTGACCTTTTAGTTATTACCGTAACAGCATGCCCTTTGTTAACTCAAACGTTAAGTCTCTGATTCTTTATTTTTTTTTTTTTCCGGTTACGATTGGGCCTCATTGGCCCATGATTCATCTTCTACTTTTCTATTTTCCTTCTCTTTTTTCGGCAATTTGGGAAAATTTTTTGGCCAATTTAACGCAATTTGGGAATTTAGGATGTAGCCTTTTTACTTAATAGTTCGCTCATTTCCTTTATTGAAAATATTTTCTTTTTTTTAGATAAAATATAAAAACAATTATTTTTTCACTTGTTCATAAAAGTAAATCATTCTAAATTAAAAAAATAATAAAAAAGACAAAATAAAATAATTTGAAAAATATGTTACACATATATTATAAAATTGTTCATTATTATTTAGATTTTATTTTAATTTATAAAAGGGAATAACATAACGATAAAATAATATGATTTTCAATTTTTCGTTTCATTTTTCAATATATTAAGTAATGAATGGAAATAAAATAATATATTTTAAAATTTTTATCTTTCCTACTAAACTAATTAAAAAAAAAACAAATATGTTTTTACATCTTTTCCCGTTACTCTTTTTTCTTTTTTTTACCAAACCTACAAAGCAAAGTTTTTAAGAAAAATTTATTATATTTGAGATTTTTTTACTAATAATCATTGAATATTCGAATTGGAAAAGTGTAAGATTTTTCTTTTATATATTGAATATGAGAGCATTTAAATCCAATTTCTTAAATAGAGAAAAATATGTATCAATCATTAAGCAAATGTGGATTTTTTTTGTAGATTTTTCTTTAAAAAAATGTGATTCGATAGTGCTATCCAATATTTTTTCTCTTGCGTTGAGCAAAGTAGATAAACATAATTGCTTTTCATAGAAGGCTTAAACAATTATAATAATAATAATATTCCGGTGCATTACAATAGGAGTGGCTTAAAAACTTTATTCTCTTATAAATGTAGTTTTAAATTTATTTCTTTTAATAAGATATTTTAAATCAAATCAGTGTCATGTCATATTTTTAATTTCTTTATTTTTTGAATATATCTATTTTTATAAGAAAAATAAGATAGAATCTAATATATATATATATATATATATATATATATATTATATAACAACATATATAAACAAGTTCGTCATATAAATACCTATGTTGACAACTCTCTTAAATGACACATAAAATGATTTTTTAAAATAATAAAATAATTTCTCTTAATTACAAATTAGATAATTTTAAATTTATTCAAATATTAAAATTATTCAAATTATAATTAAAAATAAAATTAATTTAGAGATATATATTTTAAAATAAAAAATATGAAATATGGATTTTATTTTTTAATAAATAATTTTAGTTGTTTACTAAATAACCTTATTTAAAAAATTTTCAAACATGTTTAAAAATTACAAAAATTAAGTTTATCTAAATCTTTCAACAATCTTTTTTTTTATCTTGATTTAAAAAATTTACGTAAGACATTAAAAATTCAAGTAATTTAATGTAAGATTTAGAAAATTAAAAATATATATCTTAAATCTTTAAATAATAAGATTATCAAAATAATTATATCTATTTGAACTCTAATTATCAATTTTATATTTCAAATAAATGAAAAAATTTTAATATTATCTTTATCACTTATTATATCCATTTTAAAATTTAAAATTTATCTATTTAATTATAATTAAATTATCTATTTAATCATAATTGCTACTAAATAATTCTTCTATAAATTTAAGACTACAAATATAATATGTTATATATCAATATAAAAAAAAAATTTAATAACTTTTTAAGATATATTTTATTACTATTGTAATTTTTTTTTGCTTATAAATTTTTTCTAAGAATATTTTATTGTTATTACAGTTTTATTCTTATGAAAAATAATTTCTTTTAGTTTATTTTTTATTTTTTTCACATATTTTCTAACATTTTTCATATTTTGTAAAATAATTTAGTTAAGATTACTAAAGTGAAAGTGTGTTAATATTTCTTTTATTTAAGACTATAGATGTAATATGTTATACATTAATTTTTTTATTTTTTTACTAACTTTGTTTAAGTATATGCTATTACTATTGTAATTTTTTTTTGTTTATAATTTTTTTCTAAGATATATTTTATTGTTATTATATTTTTATTCTTATGAAAAATAAATTTTTTAATAAATTTATTATTTTTTTACATATTTTATAGTATTTTTCATATTTTATATAATAATTTAGTCAAAATTACTAAAGTGAAAGTGTGTTAATACTTTTTTTATTATTTAATTTATCATTCAATAATATATATTTTTATTTTTTAAAAAGATATAATTTATTTTTATTTGATGTAATTTTACAGGCGTATAAATATTATTGTAAACAAAAATATTCAAGGAAAAGACATAAATTTTTTTGTTATTTTCAAAAAAATTATTTTTTAATAACAAGTCAATATATGTAAATTATATATATATATATTATGAGTTTTAAAAATTTAAATATAATTTTAAAAAATTTCATTTATATATATTTATATTAAATAAATAAAATTATTTTGTGCATCATACGGGTTATAATCATAGCTTAAAAACTTTAGTCTATTATAAATGTAGTTTTAAATTTATTTTCTTTAATAAGATATTTAAAATCAAATCAGTGTCATGTCATATTTTTCAAATTCTTTATTTTTTGAATATATCTATTTTATAATAAAAAAGACAAAATTTAATATATATATATATATTATAACAATATACATAAACAAGTTTGTCATATAAATGTTTATGCCGACAACTCTCTTAAATGACACAAATGATAGTTTTTTTAAATAATAAAATAATTTATTTTAATTACAAATTAGATAATTTTAAAATTATTCAAACATCAAAATTATTTAAATTATAATTAAAAATCAAATTAATTTAGAGATATATATTTTAAAATTAAAAATATAAAATATGAATTTTATTTTTTAAAAAATAATTTTAGTTGTTTACTAAATAACCTTATTTAAAAAATTATTTAATTATAAAAAATTTTCAAACATGTTTAAAAATTACAAAGATTAAGTTTATCCAAATCTTTCAACAATCTTTTTTTTTTTTATCTTGATTTAAAAATTTGCGTAAGACATTAAAAATTAAAGTAATTTAATGTAAGATTTAGAAAATTAAAAAAATATATCTTAAATCTTTAAATAATAAGATTATCAAAATAATTATATCGTTTTGAACTCTAATTATCCATTTTATATTTCAAATAAATGAAAATTTTTAATATTATCTTTATCACTTATTATATCCAGATTTAAATTTTAAAAATTATCTATTTAATCATAATTGCTACTAAAATTTATTTTTATAAATTTAATACTATAAATGTAATATGTTATACATCAATTTTTTAAAAAAATTTTTCAATAACTTTTTTAAGGTATATTTTATTACTATTGTAATTTTTTTTATTTATAAATTTTTTCTAAGAATATTTTATTGTTATTACAGTTTTATTCTTATGAAAATAATTTTTTCAATTTATTTTTTCTTTTTTCACATATTTTCTAACATTTTTCATATTTTGTAAAATAATTTAGTTAAGATTACTAAAGTGAAAGTGTGTTAATATTTCTTTTATTTAAGACTATAGATGTAATATGTTATACATTAATTTTTTAATTTTTTCAGTAACTTTTTTTAAGTATATTCTATTACTATTGTAATTTTTTTTGTTTATAAATTTTTTTAAAGATATATTTTATTGTTATTATAGTTTTATTCTTATGAAAAATAAAATTTTAATTTATTTTATTTTTTTACATATTTTATAATATTTTACATATTTTATTTAATAATTTAGTCAAAATTACTAAAGTGAAAGTGTGTTAATATTTTTTCATTATTTAATTTATCATTCAATAATATATATTTTTATTTTTTAAAAAGATATAATTTATTTTTATTTAATATAAATTTACAGGTGTATAAATATTATTGTAAACAAAAATATTAAAAAAAAGACATAATTTTTTTTGTTGTTTTCAAAAAATTTATTTTATATATATTATGAGTTTTAAAGATTTAAATATAATTTTTAAAAATTTAATTTATATATATTTATATTACATAAATAAAATTATTTTGTGAATAGCACTGGTAGCTTAAAAACTTTAATTTCTTATAAATGTAGTTTTAAATTTATTTCCTTTAATAAGATATTTTAAATCAAATCAGTGCCATATCGTATTTTTTAATTTCTTTATTTTTTGAATATATCTATTTTTATAAGAAAAATAAGACGGCATTAACTATCTAAAATCAAAAACAATGTTTTCTAAATTTTTCTCACAAGTTTAATTATATTTAAAAGAAGAATTACTAGTAATGTACGAAATAATCATGAAAATAATTTAAGTTTGATTTTTTTTTCTTATTTTGAAATTAAACTTTTTGGCTCTTTATTTATATACTTAATAATGTAAAATTTTCATTTATGTGCTTAATTACAGTCGTCATCGTCTACGCAAACAAGCTTACCAGAGGAATCAAAAGCCTTAAAAATTTTGGCCTTGTAGTCGATCAGACTTGGACTTAAGTATTGTTATTGTTGTTGATTTGCTAAGGTTAAGAACAAAGCTGATGATGGTAAATTAAATCGTGTTGAGTCTGATTAAAAGTTGAGATATAATTGTATGACAACATTTGTTTATGATCTTATAAGAAGTTGTATTCAATTCTGCAATTAAAATAAGAAAAGGATCAGTAGCAGAGATTGTAAATAAAGAAAAAAAAAAAAAAGATTGACAAACGAAAGATGGAATCTTATAAAGTTTTATGTGCTTGATCAAGGAGAAGACAAGGAGAAAAAGAATGCGAAATCTTGGAAGAGATATGAAGACTATTAATTATTAAAAAAATAAAAAAAAAAAATAAAGAAAATGAAGGAGTTTGAAGTTAAAGAATTGAAAAAAAAGAAAAAAAAAAAACCTAAAGAGAACTTAATTTTTCCAATTTTCCTTCAAAGGAGAGAGGAGTGGGAACGAGACATTGTGTTTAAAAAAAATACGACATGAAATAAATTTGCCTTAGATTAACTCATTAATGGAAATAAATTTAAAACTACCGTTATTAAAGAATAAATATTTTAAATTACCCCTCACCAAAAAAAAAAAAAAAAAACCTCCACAATTAAATGGTGTGATATATTATAACTTCAACATTAATTGCTAAAGCTGAATAAGCTGGTATTGAGAAAGATAAACACAAACATAGCTACAATACAGATGTAGTATATATATAGTATAATTATAAATAAAACTATGATTTATTTGTCTAATTTCAAGTGGCGTGTAGTCGGCTTTTGACCGTGTGTACATTTATAAACATAAAATTATCTGCTCAAATTTGACTAAATATTGAACAAAAAAAAAAAAAAAAAAGAAACTCATCATCCAAGAATCATCAAACCAAGTTGGAACAGTAGCTTTCCCATTAAAAAGAGAAAATTCTCAATTATACAAAATGGTTGGCACGTGTCAAACCTTAGGAAAGGGAGGACCCACATTGTTGGAAACTCAAAGTTGGCCGCTGAACCGTAGAAAAAAAAAATGTCTTCAAAAAGAATAAAATTCCAGCTAGCGTCTCGCGAGAAAAACATTCCGTTGTTTGTTAAGCAAAACACGAGAGATCTTAACCTCCACTCCCTCATTTTTTATTTCCTTTTAATAATTTTCATTTTCCCGTTGCCTAAACCAAGCTCAAATCATTTTTCTTTTTTTGGTTTCTTCTTCCTATTTCTGCAAAAAAAAAATAAAATTTAGGGCTAGAAAACCAGATCTCTCTTATTTTCCTCCAATGGAAGCTCAATGCATTGGATTCTTGCATTAAGAATCGGATTCCTGGACGAATTTTGGAACCGTTTGATTGCTGCTTTCTCTTTAAAATTGGTGTCCGATGGAGTCATCTATTTGGAGCAGCGATGCCAAGCCTGAGGCGTGGCATTTCCTCCTGGCGGTTTACTTCGCTCTTGGTTTCGTTGTCGCCAGGTTCTTCCTTGACAAATTCATTTTTCGCGTAAGATTTTGTTGTCTATTTCTTTGTGTTATTTTCATTGATTATTGATTCCTAAATTAGTTTATTGTTTCAAATTTTTTATTTGTTTTTTACTTTTATATAATATTTCACGGCATGTATAACCTAATAAAGGATATGAAAATTTCAAATTCAAAAGAAATTCATCGTATAAAAAAAAAACCGTTTTCAATTTTGATTGATTAGAGAGAGGTTGGTCCCTTGAATCTTTTTCACTATTTTATATGCATGTATTTGGAAAGAAAGTTAACTTTAGTGGTTGAGCTTAACTTGAGTCTGCGTCCAGATATGTTAATGTATGTCACATATGAAAGGGCAATAACAAACGAAAGAATTGTCATAAAAAAGAGGATAAGAGAGGACAAGAGACGAGGGTTTAATAGTAATAAGTGGCCCCGGGAATGGAATTCAGGATAATATGTTTACATCCAAAGTGTATCGCTTGGAGCTTTATATATGGATGAATTATCTTTTTTATTAAACCGTTAGATTTAGAGAAAATTCTGCTTGAGTCTTGAAAGTTTATGGAAGATGGGGAAGAAGCATATACTCTGTCAATTTAAGTGTGTTAAGGTTGTGTTTGATGCATTGGATTATAAATAGGATAGGATAGGATATGAGTAACTATCCTTTTATTTTATCACGTATCTTTTGAATATGCACGACTAAAATGTTCACCACTTATTTTGCATAATCCTCTTTTTGTTGAATTATGCAAACCTATGGAAAGAAGGGTAGGTTTGTATAATTCTACATGGATAGGATTTTGTAGGATGAGATGATAACATTTTAGTCATAAAAAATAAAAAAGACAAAATGCGGACAATTTAGTTATCCATATTGTCTTTTCCTATTGTAACCATAATCTGTTGCACCCAATGCAACCTGAAAATGTTCCACTATAGGTCAGAGTTGTAACAGGGAAAAAATTCATCATTTTCTGGAAGTCATTGTGCAATGTAAATGCTGCTTTTTTTTTTTCTACTTATCCAGATTAATTAAAAATTTGGGGGGGTTGAAAGCTTCTACCATATGTCTATTTTCTAAAATTTAAGAAAATCTATTACCATATTTGTGGGCAGCCTTGGAATTGATTTATGAAAAGTTTTCAGAACAGAGGATTTTGTTGCTGTGTGTTAGGCAACAATGTCTCCAAAAGCCTAAATCAAGTTGTTACTCCAAGTGGCCTTGTGTTTCAGGGCTCAGGCATGCATGAGTTCAACTATACTTGTTATACTAACAGATAATTAATCTTTTGCATAAAAGCTCTTGCTAAAATGATATGTTTCACCAATAAGGTATATCCTCATGATAGGTCCTATATATTTCAAGAAATGTTGTGGGTATGTACATTTTGATTCGACTGTAATTGAAGGAACATTTCTGTTCCTAGATCTTGTATTAATGACTTGGGTGTTATATGGTCATTATTCAAATTAATAGTTGATTGGGAGATAACAGTGTAAGAGGTTCTTACATCAGACCGTTCTCTTTCTTCCAATTTCCAGTATGATGCCTCAGAACATATAGATCTCCCTTGATTTTACAAAGTTATAAACATTATTACCAAGCCTCATCAAAACAAAATGGAAAGATATCATGGAACTTATATTAGAGAGACAAAAAGAAGCGTGTCAGCCACCAAGATATTTGCTATTCAAGGATTCGGTAACTGCTCAGAAAATCCTATCTTGTGCGCAACATTTTGTGAGGCAGAAGCTAAATCATTTGTATTTGTTCACTTTGATTGAATCCTGCACAAACAAGATGTGGTCGTAGAAACATTTATGAGGTACATCAGGATGGTGTTAAATAACTTTTGGAGGCAGTTTCTTAATGGAGACAAATGCTCCTCCCTGACTTTTCGCTATATGTTATCATTTGCATCTCTCCTTTTCCAGCCAACACATTCATGTTATACTTTCTCCATCTGCTCTTGAAAGCAAACATGCTAGTAATGCTATGGCTAAGTGGTTTTGAGGTGAGGACAAGGGGAATAAATATTTTACCAACTTTACCTATATTGTGCTTCCTTTTTGAAGCAATTTCATTTTTTAATATAAGATCTTGCAAATGTAACATTGTAAGAAAAAACTAATGCTAGGTAGAGCTTGTCTTTCAACCTTGGACTGGTTTAGCTTTTAGAACTGTACCAAAGGATAGTGACATCTAAATTTTGTTGAATTCTTCTTGCTTTTGCTAGCTTGTAAAAACTGAATTTAGGGTCATTGATGAGCATTAAGTTGCTTAAAGTATTTTCTAGAACAATTTCTTGAAGTTGATTTTGCTTTTCACGTGAAGTTGCAAAAATATTTCAATTCAAAGTGACAAGTGTAGAGAATGGAACCTGGAATGAGCTTTTGTCAGCTAATAGCCAACAATCATGCTTCTGTGTATAAGTTGATTGTTCTCTAATCTTGATACTTGACGCTTCTACCTTCATTAGGAATGATTTGCAGCTATTTGAAAGCCGTACTTGGAATGTAAATAGTAAAAGAAGCAATGGTTCTGTCTAGTATATTAGTCGATCAATTTTCTCCTTGTAATAGTTTCATTTCATATTTATCATTACAAGCAAATGCAAGTGCAAAATTATAAACTAGGTATAAAAAACACTTGATCTTTTGTTAATACATTTTAAATTTTTCTTCATGTTCATTTAGAGGTTAGCCATCTGGTTGTTGAGTATCGGATCTGCTCCTTTGAAGATGAATGAAGCTACACAGGCAAAAATTGTGAAATGCTCAGAATCTATGTGGAAGCTAGCATACTATGCTACTGTTGAAACATGTGTCCTCCAAATCACCTACTACGAGCCATGGTTCAGAGATACAAAAGGGTACTTCAGGGGCTGGCCAGATCAAGAGTTGAAGTGAGTAACCTAAATTCTTGGACTTATATCCAACTGTTGTATTTATCAATCTCATATTGTGTTCTAGCATGCAGTCTTATTTACCTCTTTACTAGGATATAATTGTCTTTGTCATTAATTGACAGAAAGTTACTGTTCCTTTTGTTCAATGCCAGTGCTCTATATTTCTGATCTCTAAATTGACATTGCATGAAAGGCTCTTCTCTTGTTTATAATTATTCTCTAAGAAATGATGGCTGAATCTATTATCGTTCATTTCTTTAGTGGTTGAAATGCTTTGAAACTACTCTCCTATCTTTGGATGAAGGAATGTATCTGCACTCAAAAGGAAAAAAATTGTTTCCTGTCTTACTTTCCTTTTTTTTAAATTCAGATCAACAGTTTTCCTTGTTCGGTTTTTTTTTCATATATGAAATCTGTGCATTTTATGTCTCAAAATTATCCTTTTTTTCTTCATTTGAAATTAATTGCAGACAAGTTTGTAGAAAAGATGGTACTCATTCATGTGCACCATTTTGTAATGGTGAATGCATACTCATTCTTGTATTAGTATATTCGAAAGCAAATTTTCATCGAATATCTGATTATTGTTGTTTTCATTGTTGCTGTTCTTGCTTTGTTTTTAGTGCCCTTGTCCTCCTGTCTGATTATACTAATCTTAACCTTTTGTCTTTCACTATCAGTAGATAAGCCTGAGTTAAACTCATATATATCATCTACAAACAAGTTTGTTCACTTTTTTTATTGTGCTTTGATTTGATCTTTTACTTTTCATTGGTGTTGGTTTAAATGTTTTGTTCCTTCAAGTGAATGCATCAGTCTTGTCACTGAAGTATCTTGCTAGTCAAAATCTTGACGGAAAACAATTTCTCATGGGATATTTTTCTACGTTCAAGAATAAATCTGCATTATCAGTATTTTGTTGAAATTTACGTTGCTTCCTTTGATACATACCCCAATGTGTTTTGTCCTTTTTTCTTTAAATCCCTATTTCTTTAATTACTGGGTCCTGCATGTGGGAGGTTAGGGCTTGTTATACCTGCTGACAACCCATTTTAAATCTAACTTCTTCCATTTTTGGTTCAGGCTTCCCTTAAGCCTTTTCTACATGTGCCAATGTGGGTTCTACATCTATAGCATTGCTGCACTCCTTACTTGGGAGACTCGAAGGAAGGATTTTGCTGTGATGATGTCTCATCATGTAATTACTGTTATCCTGATTGGATACTCATACATTTCAAGGTAACTTACCCATTTCTGTTGAAATGCACCAAAATCCCAGTCATTACCACATAAAAGAGGCAAATATTCTTTTGGTAATCTTTGTTGCTTACCTCTTCGCAACTTCGGGAATCTCATCAGTGGACCATCTATCTCCAGATTGCAAAGAGTTTTTAGTATTCCTTGTTTGTTGTTTTTTATTTTCATTTTTGAAAATTTTATTATTATCTTTTAGTCTGTACATATGGTCTAAAATTCGTTTGCTTTCTGTATGCATATATTGTAGATCTCTAGTTCAATGTGCTACACAATTTGTCTTTCTTTGAGTTTACTTTCGGCAAGCCTCCATAAGTAAATGCCACTATTATACTCTTATGGTTTTAAAAATTGTGGTATATTGCTATCCTTTGGATCATTAGCAGTTTTTGACAAAAACTGCTCATGGCAGCTTTGCTATTTGATACTGTAAGAAGAAAGTTTATGCCATCTTTTACAAATTATGTGATATGTTCATTTTTTCATCAACTCATGGTAAAAATGCAGGCATTTTTCACTCTGCTAGTATTATGTTCTTCATTGCTGTGATAACATTCATACCTTTAGCATCTGATTTTAGTAATGGAGTTGCCATTATCTAATTGTTGACTGAGATCAATGAAATCTATTGCTTGCAAGTTTTTGTAGTAGATGTTTACATCGGAATTGAGGAGCATTTAATAGAATTCTTGTGAGGGAAGAACATAGCTTTTCTTTGTAAAAGTTGGTTTGATAAATTAAATTAACTTGTAGATATCCAAGTGGGAAGAAGATTATAATTTGCTTGTTTACAGCTTTTTCCGCATTGGTTCAATTATACTTGCCCTACACGATGCAAGTGATGTGTTTATGGAAGTGGCTAAAGTTTTCAAATATTCTGAAAGGGAGCTTGCTGCTAGTGTGTGCTTTGGATTATTTGCCATCTCTTGGCTCTTGCTACGTCTAATATTCTTTCCATTTTGGGTCATCAAAAGTTCAAGGTTTGCCCTTATGGTTAATAATTTGGTTTCACTACATTATCTGCAGACTGACTGGTCACTTGTGTACTCTTGTGGTTGGCCTCTAACAGCTATGATATTCGGGAGTTCCTAAATCTTTCAGAATCATATCCCACATCCCTTTACTATGTTTTCAATACCATGTTGCTGATGCTACTTGTGTTCCATGTCTACTGGTGGGTTCTCATTTGCTCAATGATCATGAGACAATTGAAAAATAGAGGAAAAGTTGGAGAAGACATTAGATCTGGTAAGCCTTTTTTCAAAATAAAAGCAGAAAAATCAACTTGCCTCTTGTTTTATGATATTTGGGGATGTCTGCACCTTTATCTTTTTATTCCTTGAAAATCGTAAAAGCTTCTCTTTGCTGTTGTCTTTTATTATCCAAAATTGTTCAAACTTCTCTCCTCTAAACATAAGTCATAGACGCAATGAGCAGGGCAGATGCATGAAAGTGTTGGAATTTAAAAATTTTCAATATCAAGTCAGTTTTTAGAGCACCTGACAGAAATATTGATTATTTGTTGCTCTATAAAATAGAATAACAACATTCGAAAGTACACCTACTATACTAAATGCATGCGGTCACATCATTAAGTTTCAATGTAGAAGAAAGTAAAAATGATCAAACTACTAGTTCTCCTCTAATTTCGTGGTAGTGGCTACATGCAGTTTTTATCTTATTGCTTCTTTAATATGATAAAAGAATCATAAGGCATGCATACAATAGTTTGACACTAAATCAATAAGAAGGAAACATGGCACTTGATTTTGCATCCTTTGTTGTCAGCTTGTCCATACTCCCAATTGTCTCCGAAGACGCAGAGTTGATATCAAGGAAAACTTGTGATATTTGTGTAAAATGATGTAGGCTTGTAAAATAAGTAAATAATATAAAAACTCTTTGAATTATAAAATTAGAATTCTCAAATTCAGTTTGTCTAATTTGCAAATTCTTTATACATACACTCCCAATTCGCAATTTTAAAATCTTCTCCTCTGTTACCTGAGAATCATTTTTATTTCTTCCGAATGTGTTGCTGACTTGATTCTCTTTGTTGAAATTCAGATTCTGAGGATGATGATTAGACAGAAGATTTCGTAAAATTTTTTTGTTCTTGGTGGCGCCCTGAGGAGATCACTTGTTGTAGGTTTGTCTCTGCACTCAATTGGTCATTACTTTGGGTAAGAATTCTCTGTTGGTTTCAATTATTGATTGATTCTTCTGGGGCTACAGATGAGGACGTAGGATTATCAAGCATACGTCTTGATTTCCTTTTTTCTGTATAAATAATAGGCATATTACTGTATAATTGTTTTCACTGGATAAACTCGTGTTTTGGCGTTAGTCATCATAAAGGGAAACAGGAACGACTTTTTTGTTTTCATTTTGGTCCAAAAAAACAGTAACAACCCTATTCTCAATCACTTTCTACATTTTTCATCTCTACTTTAATCTTAAAAAAGCAATAAAAAAAAAAAACGTTTGATGAAATTTCTTCAACAATGTGGCATCTTTGGGAGGGAGCATTGCCTGTATTTGATGTTAGATTGGTACTATCTTTTTGTGTGTGTGTGTGTGGATTCCTTTTCGACAAGGAATGACATTTTTAAAAAGACATATGCTTAAATAAAAAAAAAAAACTTTTTTTTTCAATTTTAATTGCTTGAGTGAGTAATACCTGCACTAACACTACATCAAAATATTATTGACGTGGATCTCTGTCCTTTGATTAGTATGATTCTCTGCCCAACCCTCCAGTTGTGACGTCGAATTGATTATGTCTAATTTTTAGCATGGTACCCAACAAAAAAAAGTTGATTAATTACTATTGTTATACTACCGTAGAAGGATCCTAGTATAGCGTCGCCGTCGAAGATTGATTGGGCTATTGAAATTAATTCTGCATCTATGTATGTTTTTAAGACAAAGTGTCTATGTTCCTATGATTTTATTTGGTAAAATTCAAATTTTCGTTTATTGGTAAGTGTCAACCAATGTTAAAAACTAATAACATTAGAAATTAAAAATCTCTATTAAAATAAAGTACTAAACTAACATTTATAATCACGACCTAAATTGATGAATCAAGAATTTTTTTTAAGAGTAATGATTTATAATTAATATATATAATACTGTGAATGAATTTTATTAATTTTATCAATAAAATAAATTTCAAAAAAAATTTCGGGGTTCTGGAAATTTTTTTTAATTTTTTAAATATTAAAAAAATGAAGGTTTTTAAAGAAAATTTATTCTCTAATTTTTTTTTTTTATTTCGAGAACACCATTTGCATTTGTCAATGACTAAACCAAATTTGAACTCATACTAATAATATATTCCTATCTGTCTACTTATTCTGGTTATTAATGGTAAGATTCCTTGAAATAATATTTTATTTATTTATTTTTGATAATAGGATTAAAAGTATTTCAAATTTTGGTTAGATCTAATTTTCTCTCCCAGAGATCTTAACTCTTTACTTTATCTGTTAACCTATTTTTATTAAATTCTAATTAAATTAAATAATTATTTTCACATGTTATTAATCTCAGATAAAAACAAAATCTTGCTGCCACCATCGTATCCCCGTCCTACGTTCTAAACGCAACGTTTTGCATGTTTCACCGTCCACTGCCTCGACCAAGATTTAAAACATCGCTTTCGCAGCCCTGATATTGACTTGCTGCAGCCGGTTGCCAGTTTCCAACTTTCTGTAATTTCTTCTGGGTATATCTTTATAAAATCCCCGATTGGTCAAAGCCTAGGTATATCTTTTGTTTATTTGAAGCAGTTGAATTTGTCAAAGGGATTAGGGGAAGGTGGGGGGCCATCGAATCCCACTCCTACGTTCTAAACGCAACGTTTTTGCATGTTTCACCGTCCACTGCCTCGACCAAGATTTAAACCATCGCTTTCGCAGCCCTGATATTGACTTGCTGCAGCCTGTTGCCAGTTTCCAACTTTCTGTAATTTCTTCTGGGTATATCTTTATAAAATCCCCAATTGGTCAAAGCCTAGGTATATCTTTTGTTTATTTGAAGTACTTGAATTTGTCAAAGGGATTAGAGGAAGGTGGGGGGACCCTTTTGTCTGTGCTTGTTCTCTTTGGGCTTTGATGGTTGGGTTTGGTCCCTCACATGATCACACTTGCCAGCTGTGTCTTCCCGGTCAATGGAAAACAGTGATGTGAGTTCTTCTTGGCTCTTTATTCTTAAACCTCCCAACGGATAGGGCACCAGGTCGGCGCCGTATAAATGGTTGCTGTCCCCAGCAATGATAGTAAACTGTCATTAACTGTATATTCTTAACACTTCGCCATTCCTTAGCATAATTGCATTACACTGTAAGACAATTTATGAAGTTGAAAAGCTTCCCAAAATAATGAAATGCATGGATTCCTCTCCCCACCCTCCCAAAAAAAAAATTCATGAAGGTTGGAAAGTTTCATTTTGTGCCAGTTACCTTCAACATTGATATAAAAAAGACTATATTTACTAAAAAAAAAAAAAGTAAGAGAACAAAGCATTTTCAAAAATATTTAAGAATACATGATATATTCTAAAAAAATTTAATTAATTCAATGTTTCAAAAATGAATTTATTTATATGATCTAAACGTTAACCTGTAGGAAAATTTTAAAAAAAGTTACAAGTAGGCTTTTTGAGAAAGATTATATATTTTAAATTTAATGCAAATGATTCATTCATTTTTTAAGAGATAAATTCTCGTAAAATTAAAATTTAATGTTCTGTACTTACAAATTTTGTTAAACCTAGACATTTTTTGAAACAAATTGCATCTACTCATTCAACATTATTGATCATAAACTAGCTGATATGCTAGAATAAAAATCAAGTTTAAATGCATCAAAGTTTTTTTTTTTTTTTTTTTTTGCAGAAAAAATAAGATGATTGATGACATAATATACTAAAGGCTACTTTGGATTCGTGCTGAGAAGAATCAAATCATAAAATAATAGTGAGAGTTTTTTCTATCATGCATTTAAATGAAGTACAAATGATAAGTGTAAAAAATGTTAAAATATAGCCTAAAGTTTTTAAATTTAAAAAATAAATTTTTAACTTTTGTTGAATATTTTACCTCGTCAAAAAAAAAAAAAAAGAAATAGGAAAGTGTAGAGAAATAAAGAGAAAATTAAAAAGGGAACTACGATGAAAGAAGTAACTGACAAATATAACTGACAAAGTTACTGCTCCTTTTGTTCAATGCTAGTGCTCTATATTTCTGATCTCTAAATTGACATTGCATGAAAGGCTCTTCTCTTGTTTATAATTATTCTTTAAGAAATGATGGCTGAATTTATTATTGTTAATTTCTTTAGTAGTTGAAATGCTTTGAAACTACTCTCCTATCTTTGGATGAAGGAATGTATCTGCGCTCGAAAGGAAACAAATTGTTTCCTGTCTTACTTTCCTTTTTTTTAAATTCAGATCAACAGTTTTCCTTGTTTGGGTTTTTTTTTTTTTTTTTTTTTTCATATATGAAATCTGTGCATTTTATGTCTCCAAATTATCCTTTTTTTCCTTCATTTGAAATTAATTGCAGACAAGTTTGTAGAAAAGACGGTACTCATTCATGTGCACCATTTTGTAATGGTGAATGCATACTCATACTTGGATTAATGTATTTGAAAGCAAATTTGCATCGAATATCTGATTATTGTTGTTTTCGTTGTTGCTGTTCTTGTTTGTTTTTAGCGCCCTTGTCCTCCCGTCTGATTATACTAATCTTAACCTTTTGTCTTTCACTATCAGTAGATAAGCCTGAGTTAAACTCATACATATCATCTACAAACAAGTTTGTTCACTTTTTTTATTGTGCTTTGATTTGATCTTTTACTTTTCATTGGTGTTGGTTTAAATGTTTTTGTTCCTTCGAGTGAATGCATCAGTCCTGTCACGGAAGTATCTTGCTAGTCAACATATTGACGGAAAACAATTTCTCATGGGATATTTTTTCTACGTTCAAGAATAAATCTGCATTATCAATATTTTGTTGAAATTTACGTCGCTTCCTTTGATACATACCCCAATGTGTTTTGTCCTTTTCTCTTTAAATCCCTATTTCTTTAATTACTGGGTCCTGCATGTGGGAGGTTAGGGTTTGTTATCCCTGCTGACAACCTATTTTAAATCTAACTTCTTTCATTTTTTGGTTCAGGCTTCCCTTAAGCCTTTTCTACATGTGCCAATGTGGGTTCTACATCTATAGCATTGCCGCACTCCTTACTTTGGAGACTCGAAGGAAGGATTTTGCTGTGATGATGTCTCGTCATGTAATTGTTAGGATTTATCTTAAATCTCATAATCGCACGTAAAAAATTAATGATTTTTGAGTCTGTTTTTATCTTATATCGAGAGTTTAATAAAATTATAAGAGTTTCACTCTTATAAATAAGATATTTTGATTTTTAATTTGGTAGCTCCAGTTAGTTAAACACTAATAGAATAGTTAAGTGAGTAGACTATTAAAATGATGTAATTGAATTTTGAATTAAACTTTGAGTAAGGAGTTTTGTGAAGCTTTTTTCATTCTAAAAGTCTTACAATTGTAAATATTTATTTGTTAATGGATTGGATTTAGAGTAAGTCATTTTGAGTTGAGCCGAAACGAATATATTTGAATTCTTATTTTTTATTTAAGCTTGTTATTTTGTGTATAAGTACTGCGTGTGTGTGTTGAATTTCTAACAAATGATATCAGAACTATGGTAATACCTAACAATAATTACTATTATCCTGATTGGATACTCATACATTTCAAGGTAACTTACCCATTTCTGTTGAAATGCACCAAAATCCCAGTCATTACCACATAAAAGAGGCAAATATTCTTTCGGTAATCTTTATTGCTTATCTCTTGGCAACTTCAGGAATCTCATCATTGGACCATCTATCTCCAGATTGCAACGAGATTTTAGTATTCCTTGTTTGTTTTTTTTTGTTTTCATTTTTGAAAATTTTATTATTATCTTTTAGTCGTACATATGGTCTAAAATTCGTTTGCTTTCTGTATGCATATATTTTAGATCTCTAGTTCAATGTGCTACATAATTTGTCTTTCTTTGAGTTTACTTTCAGCAAGCCGCCATAAGTAAATGCCACTATTATACTCTTATGGTTTAAAAATTGTGGTATATTGCTATCCTTTGGATCATTAGCAGTTTTTGACAAAAACTGCTCATGGCAGCTTTGCTATTTGATACTGTAAGAAGAAAGTTTATGCCATCTTTTAAAAATTATGTGATATGTTCATTTTTTCATCAACTCATGGTAAAAATGCAGGCATTTTTCACTCTGCCAGTATTATGTTCCTCATTGCTGTGATAACATTCATACCCTTAGCATCTGATTTTAGTAATGGAGTTGCCATTATCTAATTGTTGACTGAGATCAATGAAATCTATGGCTTGCAAGTTTTTGGAGTAGATGTTTACATCGGAATTGAGGAGCATTTAATAGAATTCTTGTGAGGGAAGAACATAGCTTTTCTTTGTAAAAGTTGGTTTGATAAATTAAATTAACTTGTAGATATCCAAGTGAGAAGAAGATTATAATTTGCTTGTTTACAGCTTTTTCCGCATTGGTTCAATTATACTTACCCCACATGATGCAAGTGATGTGTTTATGGAAGCGGCTAAAGTTTTCAAATATTCTGAAAGGGAGCTTGCTGCTAGTGTGTGCTTTGGATTATTTGCCTTCTCTTGGCTCTTGCTACGTCTAATATTCTTTCCATTTTGGGTCATCAAAAGTTCAAAGTTTGCCCTTATGGTTAATAATTTGGTTTCACTACATTACCTGCAAACTGAATGATCACTTGTCTACTCTTGTGGTTGGCCTCTAACAGCTATGATGTTCGGGAGTTCTTAAATCTTTCAGAATCATATCCCACATCCCTGTTCTATGTTTTCAATACCATGTTGCTGATGCTACTTGTGTTCCATGTCTACTGGTGGGTTCTCATTTGCTCAATGATCATGAGACAATTGAAAAATAGAGGAAAAGTTGGAGAAGACATTAGATCTGGTAAGCCTTTCTTTTTTCAAAATAAAAGCAGAAAAATCAACTTGCCTCTTGTTTTATGATATTTGGGGATGTCTGCACCTTTATCTTTTTATTCCTTGAAAATCGTAAAAGCTTCTCTTTGCTGTTGTCTTTTATTATCCAAAATTGTTCAAACTTCTCTCCTCTAAACATAAGTCATAGACGCAATGAGCAGGGCAGATGCATGAAAGTGTTGGAATTTAAAAATTTTCAGTATCAAGTCAGTTTTTAGAGCACCTGACAGAAATATTGATTATTTGTTGCTCCATAAAATAGAATAACAACATTCGAAAGTACACCTGCTATACTAAATGCATGTGGTCACATCATTAAGTTTCAATGTAGAAGAAAGTAAAAATGATCAAACTACTAGTTCTCCTCTAATTTCGTGGTAGTGGCTACATGCAGTTTTTATCTTATTGCTTCTTTAATATGATAAAAGAATCATAAGGCATGCATACAATAGTTTGACACTAAATCAATAAGAAGGAAACATGGCACTTGATTTTGCATCCTTTGTTGTCAGCTTGTCCATACTCCCAATTGTCTCCGAAGACGCAGAGTTGATATCAAGGAAAACTTGTGATATTTGTGTAAAATGATGTAGGCTTGTAAAATAAGTAAATAATATAAAAACTCTTTGAATTATAAAATTAGAATTCTCAAATTCAGTTTGTCTAATTTGCAAATTCTTTATACATACACTCCCAATGCACAATTTTAAAATCTTCTCCTCTTTGTTACCTGAGAATCATTTTTATTTCTTCTGAATGTGTTGCTGACTTGATTCTCTTTGTTGAAATTCAGATTCTGAGGATGATGATTAGACAGAAGATTTCGTAAAATTTTTTTGTTCTTGGTGGCGCCCTGAGGAGATCACTTGTTGTAGGTTTGTCTCTGCACTCAATTGGTCATTAATTTGGGTAAGAATTCTCTGTTGGTTTCAATTATTGATTGATTCTTCTGGGGCTACAGATGAGGACGTAGGATTATCAAGCATACGTCTTGATTTCGTTTTTACTGTATAAATAATAGGCAAATTACTGTATAATTGTTTTCACTGGATAAACTCGTGTTTTGGCGTTAGTCATCATAAAGGGAAACAGGAACGACTTTTTTGTTTTCATTTTGGTCCAAAAAAACAGTAACAATCCTATACTCAATCACTTTCTACATTTTTCTTCTCTACTTTAATCTTAAAAAAGCAAAAAAAAAAAAAAAAAAACTTTTGATGAAATTTCTTCAACAATGTGGCATCTTTGGGAGGGAGCATTGCCTGTATTTGATGTTAGATTGGATACAGCCTTTTTTTTTATTGTGTGTGTTTGTGTAGATTCCTTCTCGACGAGGAATGACATTTTTAAATAGACTTATGCTTAAGTAAAATAAAGAATAAATTAAAAAAACTTTTTTTTTTCAAATTTAATTGCTTGAGTAAAGTAATACCTGCACTAACACTACATCAAAATATTTTTGACGTAAGTTTGGTTTTTGGCAAATCATACCCAAAACTGAATATAAACTTTTAACTACTTTTAGTGCACCAACAGGTAATTTTTAATGGACTGTTATGTCTTTTGGTTTATGCAATGCATCATAAAATTTTCAGCGTTGGATGGATATTATTTTCAGTAAACATAAATAATTTTATTGTGTATATATTGATGATATACTTATTTTTTCTTCTACATTATATGAGCACAGAAAACACCTGAATATTATTGCTCAAGAATTTATTTTATATGATATTATTTTAAGTCCTAAAAAGGTTGAACTTGAAAAAACAAAAATTAAATTTTTTAGTCTTAATCTATCTGCTAATGGATTAACATTGTAGGATCATATCATCTTGAAGATCAATGAGTTTTCAGAAGAACTGGATAATATTAAACAACTTCCACAATTTTTAGGTATATTAAATTATGGTAGAAAATTTTTTTAAAATCTTTCTAAAAAAGAAAGTCTTCTTTTGCATAAATTACGCAAAGACAATGATTTTGTCTGGACAACAACAGACTCTAATATTATTAAACAAATCAAATCAGAGCTAACTTATATTCCTAAAGTTTATTTGCCTAAATAGGGAGATCTACTAATATTAGCGATAGATGCCAATGAAGAATATTGGAGATGTGTCCTTAAAGTAAAAAATCTTCATCAAAAGGATGAACTGATATGTGGATATAATTTCGATAAATTTAAACCAAACGAAATAAACTACATTATTTATGAAAAAGAATTGTTAGCCATAAAAAATTATGTACAGCGATTTCACATCTAGTTAGCCCCTAAGATATTTGTTATCAGAACAGATAACCCAGTAGTAAGAGATTTCCTTAAAATAGAAAGCTCTCTAAAAATTTCAAGCGAATTACATGGTATAATTTTCTTTGCCAATATAATTTTCAAGTGAAATTCATCAATGGAGACAAAAACCTCATTGCAGATTATCTAAGTAGACAACATGGATCGAGGAAAACAACCTGTCCATGACCCAGGAGAATGGAGAACCATAAAATAGAAAATAGGTAAAAAATCCTCTTTTTCTTCCTCTACTCATTTTTCTCCAAGATTCCATGTTTTCGTACAAATCCTAACCCAAGATTTGGTTTTTACAATGATCCTAATCAAAGATTATTTTTTCATCAACTCGAAAATTTTATACCACCATTTATGCCATCTCTTTTGAGGATTCAACCAGAACTCTCTCAATTTACTCAAGATCCAAATGTATGGACTCCTATGAGTTACTTTGAAATAGTTTTTTCAGCAAAACAACTGCTAGAAAAAATAAAACTCTTTAATCCAAAGATTAAAGATTTTTATAACCCTGGACTTGAACCATGAGTCTATAATTTGCTAAACAATATTTGGAAATCCCATCTCTCAGAAAATAAATCTAGCTTTCGAAAAGGGACGATCAAATTAGCTGAATTCTTAGTCAAACATGTTGATGAAATTTAGAAGTTTAAAGAAACAGCTTTCCAAAGCCTTCTTTCCACTAATATGCTAAAACAGTAAGATATTGATTTCTTTGCTTTGGAAGAAAATTAGTACAGTGTTCAAGAAATAAACAATTTCTTGAATTTATGTGAATATTTTGAAAATTATAATTCTCTTTAGCTAAACAAGCTCAAGAGAATTTTTTTGTTCGAAAAAGTTGCAGTCTTCCTAACCAAGAAACTGTTCCAATAAATAAATCTTTCAATTACTCAGACAACAAAAAAACTGTTGATAAAAAAAACTTTCTGAACATTATTACTCTTTATATATCCATATTACTACCACTGGGGATCGTATTTCAAAAATTAAATTTTGTCTAAATAATGAACCTTTTGATGTAACCAACATCGACCTTGAAATAGTTGGTCTAATCCTTGTACAAAACTTATATTTTAATTTAATTAAAGATTTTTCCAACTTTTATAAAATATCATTTTCATAAAGCTGTAAACAACAGCCATTATTTCTTTTACATACATTTCACCATTACTAGTTTTCTTGGTTGTTACCAGCGAGAGAGATTTTTTCAACCTTATCAAATTTGAAAAATGAAAAAAGTCATTTCTGGCTTTATGTTAAACCCAACAACAGAAGCCTTGGAAATTCTTGAAACACTAAACAAGATTGTTTCAAAATATTCTAATCCAGCATAATACCAATTCCAAACAAGAATCAAAATAATGAAAAAAAGCCTCATATCTCCTTCAACTGGCCACCAGAGATAATTTCCTAAAAGCTATCATACAAACGAATGGACGAAGGATTTTTGCAATAATTTATTATGCTACCTTTCAAGCACCATTCCAAATTTAACCAGAGGCAATCCAACTTCTGGAAAGACTTTTTAAAATGAAATATATTGATCATCCTACAGAGATGCTATATCAGTATCAAGACGGATGAAAAATGTGGAATCAATTCAGATCCACTTTTCCACATTCACACCAAACCCTGGATGAAGATGGTGTTGAACTACAAAATTTGGATAATACAATGGAAGGATGATTCTAACCCAAAATATCCTGTAAAAATTTTAAGTAGGAATTAGCTGATCCATGCTGTCGACATAAAAAGATAAAAATGTTCAGAGCTAAAAACCAGCTACATTATAATAGTTACTGTTCCCGACAAAAGTCCTGTAGCAGTTACTGTAACATATAGCAGATAGAGATCTGCTACCAAAACTACTATAGAAAGTCACTGTAATAGTACTGTAGATAAAAATTTTACTGTATACTATAAAGGCAACTGTACATAGTTACTGTTCATGTTTTCGTCTATTAAGCCTTTATTGTAATTAGCTAGATGAGGCCTTTCTTTCAGTCATCTCTTTTTACTCATTCCTTTTCTCTTATCTCTCCCATGCTTAACTATCCTCCATTTAATGTAAAATAACATAAATTATTTTTTTTTTCCTTTTGAAAACATTTATATAGAGATCATTTCTAATTAAGAAATCTTTTTTCGTTCCACTTATCATTGTAACCTGTGACAACAATAGACATAGATTATGCCCAATCATCTATGATTTTTTTCATAGTCTTTGACAGGAACACGGGTTAGATCTAAATAAGTGACACCTTGTGCAACTAAGGGTGTAAATGATACATTAGTACTCGCAAGTTACTCGGGTTCAATTAGAATAAAACTTGAATTCGATTCGATTATTATCGAGTTGAGCTCGAGCTCGAGTAGCTTGACTTATCGATCGAATCGAGTTCGAGTATTTTTATACTCGACTCGAGTAGCTCACGAGCTTAATCGAGCTTTTATATTTAATTTTTTTATTATTTTAATTAATAAAATATATCGAATTCGAGTTCGAGCACAAATAATCGAACTTTTATCGAATATAAAAATCAAACTTATTTTAACATATTAATCGAGCTTAATCGAGCGAGTTCGAATAGCTGAATTTCGATCACGAATCGAGCTCGAGCTAAAAAAATGAAACTCGATCGAGTTCGAACTGAATATCGAGCCTCGAGTTGGGAGTCGAGCTCGAGCTCGAGATTCTCATTGTATCGGCTCGACTTGGCTCGATTATACCTTTATGTGCAATTGTTCGTTTGTTTAATGAATCAATTATAGGGACTTTTTGATTTAATCTGACTGGTTTGGCTAGATTTTGAAGTTTGTTTTATCTCATCCTTTTTTAGGTGAGATTTATGTTGAGCTAATTCTTCATGAGAATGTAAATAATCAGGAAAAGAAGAAATCGTCCATATCTAGGTTAGATATTTCTTATGCTTTTCTTTTACCTCTATCCTCTTGTTGAAAAATAAGGTTTTGAGGATTTTGGATCTGATTGATCGTCAGAACTAGAAAAATCATCTGATGTGGTTTCATTGGATGAAACTGGCTCATTCTTTACTACTAGGTTAGTAGCAAGAATTTTAAAATTATCTTCTATCATATCATTATCTGCTTCTTACTAACACTAGTTGTGTCATAGTTAAGCATGTAATGATAACTATATTTTTGAAAAAATCATTTATATTCTTCATAAAGGGTTTCAATAGCTTGAAGATAATCTAAACCTTTATAAAGGTTTAGATTCAGTTTTGAACACTAAAATGGTATCAGAGCTCTAGGTTTGTAAAAATGTTTGTAATATTTCAGCTTATCGATCTATCTTGTACTCTATTTTATAAACAAAGTCTTTATATCTACTCTTGTTTTTTATTATTTATTCTTTGTTTTAAAGCTCATATCGTGAATCTGTGGTAATTTGCTGGTATTCATTGGCTTTGTATGCTTTTTGTTGACTGACTTTGAGTAACCTATACAAAATCACACTAGTCTTAAGCACCATAAACATTGAATCAACTTCAAAAATAATTGTATTTGTAGATATCAAATTTATAATCATAGTTTGCATATAGATCCTAAGTCTGAATCTAATAATATTTTTATAAGTAGAGCTGTAAATGGCTTGTTTGATCTTTTTTTTTTTTTTTCACTAAATTGTTTGTAAAAATGAATAATATAGAAGATAAAATAGACTTACTTGTAGAAAAGATGGACCAAAAACATATTCTTTCATATACATCTACAAAATTTGGACCTTTTTACTATGATAATATTATGATGGTTGACGACAATCTTTCATCTTCCTCAGCAAAGACGAAACAAGAAAAACTTGATTTTAACTTTTATAAATATTTAATTGAAAATCTTTATACATAGATCCTTTTCTTTTTTGTCGGAAATAATAACTGCTACAATACAGTTGATCTTTGGCTCCGAACAGTAAAGGCAATTGTGACGTCGAATTTATTATGTCTAATTTTTAGCATGGTACCCAACAAAAAAAAAAGTTGATTAATTACTATTGTTAAACTACCGGAGAAGGATCCTAGTATAGAGTTACCGTCGAAGATTGATTGGACTATTGAAATTAATTCTGCATCTATGTATGTTTTTAAGACAAAGTATCTATGTTCCTATGATTTTATTCGTTAAAATTCAAATTTTCGTTTATTGGTAAGTAATCAAATGTCAACCAATGTTAAAAATTAATACCACCATTAATTAGAAACTACCATTAAAATAAATTACTAAACTAAAATTTATTATCATGAATTAAATCAGTGGCAAATTTAAATTGTTTTTTAAGAGTATCTATTTATAATATATAAAAAATATTATCGATGAATTTATCAATTTTATCAATAAAAAAATATCTAAATTATTTTTTAAGGTTTCCAAAAAAAAATTTTCTTTAAAATTTCTAGTATTTTAATTTTTTGAATGTTCAAAAAATAAAATTCTAAATTATTTAAAGAAAAATTTTCCTCTAATTATTTTTTATTTTTTAATTTTTGGAACAGGTTTGCATCTGCAAGTGATCTAAGCAAATGTGAGCTCACACTATTAATATATTCCCATCTGTATACTTATTCTGGTTGTTACTAGTAAGAATAATTAATAATTAAATTCCTTGAAATCATATTTTATCTTTTTGGCATATTAATCACATTTTTTTTATTTATTTTTGATAATAGGATTAAGAGTATTTGAAATTTTGGTTAGATCTAATTTTCTCTCCAAGAGATCTTAAGACTCTTTACTTTATCAGTTGAACTTATTTTTATTAATTTTTAATTAAATTAAATAATTATTTTCACATGTTATTAGTCTCGCATAAAAACAAAATCTTGCTGCTACCTTCTTATCCCCACCTACGTTCTAAACGCAGCGTTTTGCATGTTTCACCGTCCACGGCCTGGACCAAGATTTAAACCATCGGTTCCGCAGCCCACAGATTGTCTTGTTCTTTGATACAGAGACAACCTGTTTCAACTTTCCTTAATTTCTTATGGGATGTGGCGACTTGGGCAGCCAACTTTTCATCCATTTCTTTTTTTTTTTTGACTTGGGCAACTGACTTTTCTCCCTTTTTTTGTTTTTTTTTCTTTAAATCCAATTCCTTTTCTTTAATTGAAGTACTTGAATTTGTCAAAGAGATCGAAGGGAAAGGGGGAGGGGGGGCCCCTTTGTCTGTGTTTGGTCCTTTTGAGCTCTGACGGTTGGGTTTGGTCCCTCGCATTGCCAGCTGTGTCTCCCCTGTCAATGGAAAACAGTGATGTGCGTTCTTCTTTCTCTTCTGTTTTGGCTCTTTATTCTTAAACCTTCCAACGTATAGGGCACCTGGTCGGCGCCGTGTAAATGGTTGCTGTCCTCTGCGATGATCGTAAACTGTCATGAACTGTATACTCTTAACACTTTGCCATTTCTTAGCATAATTGCATTACACTGTAAGACAATTTATGAAGTTGAAAAGCTTCCCAAAATAATGAAATGCACGGATTCCTCCCCCACAAAATTCATGAAGGCTGGAAAGTTTCATTTTGTGCCAATTGCCTTCAACATTGATATAAACCAAGACTATCTTCACTAAAAAAAATTAAGAAAACAAAACATTTTCAAAATATTTAAGAACACATGATATATTCTAAAAAAATTAAGTCAATGTTTCAAAAATGAATATATTTATATGATCTTAACGGTGATCGGTAAGAAAATTTTCAATAAAGTTACAAGTAGACTTTTTGAGAAAGTTTTAATGTTTGAGATTTAATGTAAATAGTTCATTCATTTTCTTTAAAAGTTAAATTCTCGCAAAATTAATATTTGATTTTTAAATGTTATGATATTTTTAAATGAATTATATAATATTTAAATGAATATTTTTCTTTTTCATATAAATACTAAAATAAAAACAAAGAGATGAAAAAAAAAATTTACTTTATGATTTTTAAATTTTAGAAAAGGAATATAATTATTTTATTGAAAGATATTGAAATACTTGTGAACTTTAATTTGAAAAAATATACTATAAAAGAAAATAAGTTACAGTAAAAAATAAAAAAAAATTAACTTCTAAAAATTATTTTATCAATTAATTTTATTTTTATTAGATTAAAAATAATAAAATAAGTAAAAATAAGCTAAAAATTACAAAACACATTTTATATTAATATATTGACCATCTATTAAAATTTACAAAATTAATCAAAATCAACAAAATTAATTAATATTATATTATATCAAATATGATATAAAATTTTATTTTTAAATATATTACATTTTGATATAATTAAAACATATCCATCGATACGATGGCATTGAAATGAAATTGTCAACAATGGCAACGCCAACACTACATCAAAATATTATAGACGTGTATCTCTGTTGTTTTGATTAGCATGATTCTCTGCCCAGCCCTCCTCCTATTGATATGATTAATGGTGACGTCGAATTGATTACTTCTAATTTTTAGCATGGTACCAGACAACGATCCTAATACAAGCCTTGCTGTCCAAGATTGATTGGGCTATTGAAATTAATTCTGCATCTATGTATGTTTTTAAGACAAAGTATCTATGTTCCTATGATTTTATTTGTTAAAATTCAAAATTTCCTTTATTGGTAAGCTATCAAGTGTCGACCAATGTTAAAAACTAATAACATTAGAAATTAAAAATCTCCATTAAAATAAAGTACTAAACTAACATTTATAATCACGACCTAAATTGATGAATCAAGATTTTTTTTTTAAGAGTGATGATTTATAATTAATATATATAATACTGTGAATGGATTTTATTAATTTTATCAATAAAATAAATTTCAAAAAAAAAATTTGGGGTTCTGGAATTTTTTTTAATTTTTTAAATATTAAAAAAATGAAGGTTTTTAAAGAAAATTTATTCTCTAATTTTTATTTATTTCGAGAACACCATTTGCATTTGTCAATGACTTAACCAAATTTGAACTCATACTAATAATATATTCCTATCTGTCTACTTATTCTGGTTATTAATGGTAAGAATAATTAATAATTAAATTCGTTGAAATCATATTTTATTTATTTATTTTTGATAATAGGATTAAAAGTATTTCAAATTTGGGATAGATCTAATTTTCTCTCCCAGAGATCTTAACTCTTTACTTTATCAGTTAACCTTTTTTTATTAAATTATAATTAAATTAAATAATTATTTTCACATGTTAATCTCAGATAAAAACAAAATCTTGCTGCCACCATCGAATCCCCCTCCTACGTTCTAAACGCAGCGTTTTGCATGTTTCACCGTCCACTGCCTCTACCAAGATTTGAACCATCGCTTTCGCAGCCCTGATATTGACTTGCTACAGCCTGTTGCCAGTTTCCAACTTTCTGTAATTTCTTCTGGGTATATCTTTACAAAATTCCCGATTGGGTATAATTGCATTACACTGTAAGACAATTTATGAAGTTGAAAAGCTTCCCAAAATAATGAAATGCATGGATTCATCTCCCCTTCCCAAGAAAAAAGAAAGATTCATGAAGGTTGGAAAGTTTCATTTTGTGCCAATTACCTTCAACATTGATATTAAAAAGTCTTATCTTTACTAAAAAAAAAAAAAGTTAAGAGAACAAAGCATTTAAAAAATATTTAAGAATACATGATATATTCTAAAAAAAATTAATTAATTCAATGTTTCAAAAATAAATTTATTTATATGATCTAAACGTTAACCTGTAAGAAAATTTTCAAAGAAGTTACAAGTTGACTTTTTGAGAAAGTTTGTATATTTTAAATTTAATGCAAATGATTCATTCATTTTTTAAGAATAAATTCTCATAAAATTAAAATTTAATGTTCTGTACTTACAAATTTTGTTAAACCTAGACATTTTTTGAAACAAATTGCATCTACTCATTCAACATTATTGATCATAAACTAGCTTATATGCCAGAATAAAAATCAAATTTAAATGCATCAAAGATTTTTTTTTTTTTTTTTTGCAGAAAAAATAAGATGATTGATGACATAATATACTAAAGGCTACTTTGAATTCGTGCTGAGAAGAATGAAATCATAGAATAATAGTTAGAGTTTTTTCTATCATGTATTTAAATGAAGTACAAATAGATTAATGATAAGTGTAAAAAATGTTAAAATATAGCCTAAAATTTTTAATTTAAAAAATAAATTTTTAATTTTGGTTGAATATTTTACCTAGTCAAAAAAAAAAAAAAAAAGAAATAGGAAAGAAATAAAGAGAAAATTAAAAAGGGCACTATGATGAAAGAAGAAACTGACAAGTATAACCGCCAAGGCCATGTCACTAGGCCTTTGTTTCACGCAGCGGTAATATTCACATTGTCCTTCACTTTTTCAATCCTTTAATGCTGAACGACGCTCTCTGTTTTTCCTTTAATTTTCCGTCCAAAATCCCCGCGTGTATATTCTTTGTAACTGTTATTAATAACGTCATCTGCCACGAACGTGTCTCACTAAAATCTTCTCACCCCGTGTATTAACGGTGTTCCCAGCTGGCATGCCACGTTCGCATCCTGGCAAGTCTTCGTATAAAATGCTTCTTTACTCTCTTTTCTGTCCCAAAACAAACGGAAACTCAAGCGAACCAAAGACAGAGCCAAAACAAACGGAAACTCAAGCGAACCAAAGACAGAGCCAAAAGTCAGAGACTTCAAAATTTCTCAAGATTCACAGCAAGTGCCTACCACGCTTATGCAGAGGTACCTGAAAAGGCAGGGACTTAGCCCTACTCCGCCGTCAATGTCTTCGCCGCCACCACCGCTTCGTCGTCTTTCTCCTGAACAAGAAATCTCCGTCATGGTCTCCGCACTCAAAAACGTCATCACCGGTTCCATCCCCTCCTCCTCCTCCTCCACCGCCGCGGCCTTTGATTTTCCTATCGATTTTGGTGCCCCTGGGGGTTCTTCTTCTACTGTTAATGCTGGGTTAGACGCTGATTGTGGGAACATGGTATTCCAAGCGAGTGAAGTTCTAGATAAGTGCCACGTGTGCAAATTTGACGGCTGTTTGGGGTGCAATCTTTTCCCGCCAAGTCAGCAAGAACAAAAAAGTGGCACTACTTCCAAAACTAAACGAGTAAAGAGAAACTACAGGGGAGTTAGGCAAAGGCCATGGGGCAAATGGGCCGCGGAGATTCGAGATCCGAACCGCGCCACAAGGGTCTGGCTTGGAACGTTCAACACGGCGGAGGAAGCAGCTCGCGCTTACGATAAAGCAGCTATCGAATTCCGTGGACCAAGGGCTAAACTTAACTTCCCATTTCCTGATAGCAATAGCAATGCCAATGTAACACCACCACCACCACCAGCTGCAGCCGCAGCAGCAGCAGCAGCAACAGGAACAGCTACACCAACACCAACAACTGCCATTGTGTTTAATCAAGAAATTAATAATAACTCGTTAAATTTGCAACAAGAGAGTGAGAGAAATCATGTGAGCATGGAAAGGGACACGGAAATGGGATTCGGGACTGAGTTTTGGGATGGAATAAGCGAAGATGAGATTCAACAGTGGATGATATGATGACAGATTTTGGAAGGGACAACAATTCTTCAGATTCTGCTACTATTACCGGGAATGCTAATAGTTCTTAATCAGTTTGATCGGCGCAGCTGTTACGAATCTGCTGTTGTTTTTATTTCTACCCCATGGCTTCCAGCATCTAACTGGAAAGTTGATTTTCTTTCTTTTCAGAGGGTGTCTATAATTAGAATTTCTTCCATAGGCTCTTTCTCATTTTATTAGTTGCAAGAAAGAGTTCAATGAAGGTGATCGATGAAATTTTTTATGATGATAATTGATTAGCGTAAGATTGTAACGTCTCTTCATTTGATAAAATTCATGATTAATCATTACAATATGATGTGAAACTCCTCCAGATTTTGGCTTTTTTTGGGTTCTAAATTATGCTGGTTTTGGCTTTTTCACACTCATGTCCATGGGAATAACGCTGCAAATTGTAAAAGAGTATTTGGTTCGTTTTGTTTGGCTGCTAGGAAAACTCAGTAGTACTGAATTGAAAGACGACTCGGAACCCACAATCCGTGATGTGATTGGATAGGAAACTTCAGTTTCATTTCACCTAACGAAAGCAGCACAAAGGGAGTTTCGCTTCTCCCAGGTGAGAGTTGGGACCCTCAAAAGGATCTAATTTGACATGTGCAACTTTTGTCCAAACTCCAATATAAGTAAAAAAAAAAAAAATTGATAAGATTTTAATCACACATTAGACATAGGCTCAATTCGTCACGTGCTGATAAAAAGTTACTAAAAAAAAATCGGTTGCCATTAGAGAAAGAGAGAATGATGATGGACGAGTTGGAGTGGAGATTATCTCAAATATGTTAATGAGTTAACCTTAAAACGTGATAGAGAGAGAAAGCGACAGAACCCCCGAAAATAACTTAAATAAAAGGTGCTAATGCAGTGTGAGGTCAAGTATATGTTGTTGATTTTTTTATTGATTTTAAAGGGCAACAAATTCGATTGCTTCACACGCTTGTTACTATTTTTTAAATTTCTAATTTAATCCTTCATCTCCTGACTGGGGAAGCGTAATGCTTCTCCCGACTTGCTCTAATCCTGATGTTATCATGAAAACTTGAATTTTCTTTCCAAATCAAGGTTTTTTCTGGAAAAAAAAAAGAATATTCTCTTAATTCCAAAATTTTTGTCATGTATTAATTTTCATAGAGTTTAAAAAAAAATTTGATTTTAATAAATTTAATATTAAATTTTAAATTTTTTTATAAAATTAAAGTTTTATGATTTTTAACATAAAAATAAAAAAATTAAGATATATAAAAAAATAATTTTGAGATAATTAAAAAAAAAAGGGAGAGATTGAAATTTATGACATTTTAAAGGAAAATATATAAATTTCTTAAAAGAGTCACGTTATTTGTCTTATCAAATTTGTTCCAAATTTTTTTATTCCGTGACAGACAGTATTATTATTATTCGTCAAATTCAAATGCGAAATCTATTTAGTTCATGGATAAATCAATTAATTTATAAATGAAATAATACAATGATACTAATAATTATACTCTTTTTGTTTTTTTTTTTCAATTTTTTTAAGATGTCCTAAAATTATGTCCTATTTCTTTTTTTTTTAATCTAAAACTATTTTTTTATAATTTAAAATTATAACTTATGATTTTTTATTTTTACATTAAAAATCATGAAATTTTAATTTTATTAAAAAATTTAAAATTTAATATTAAATATATTAAAATAAAAAGATTTTAAATTTCTTGAATATTAATAGATAACAAATATTTTGAAACGTAGGAAGTATGTAAATACAAAAATTAAAAAAAAAAAGTAAATTTTCGAAAGTTACTATAACTTACCATGATTAAATTTTACAAAAGGACCTAATGTATATAGGGGAATATTATTGACTTTTATTTAGCAAAAATTGCTATTTCAAGACTGTTGAATTACCATAAGAGCCAATTTATTTGATAAAGGTTTTTTTTTTTTTCTTTCTATTTTGTGATTGTACATATCTAAAAAGAGTAGCATGGCCCAGGCATTGGCTAAGCCGAAGGAGGAGTTGGTGGTTTCCACTTGATCAACCTGTTGTTGTTTGGAACAAAATATATAGAAATAGAAAAAAAAAATATTGTCGACCCTAAGTAAGATGAATATCATAAATGAATTGAACTTGAAGATTGAAGACAGAGAGAAGGAATCTCAAACATCTTGGTATTGGGGAATTTGGGATTGATTTGTTTAATGATCTACTGTCTCCCTCGGAAATTAGGATTACAATTTGGATGAGACCAATTTCTTGATGGACCAACCCAACCAATTTTGACTGAGATTTGATTTGACATTACAAGTAAATCGCAAATCTATAATTACTTAAGTCAGGGTGAAAAAATTTGTCCGGTATAGGCTAAAATATTTCCATGAATTTTGCATTGAAACTGCCATTCAACTATCCATGCTTAACCATAAAGTCGGGGGGGTTAGTTTCTCAATCACGTTGTCAAATATCAATCATTGCTTTTTGTTTGTGATGATCTGGTTCAGTTAATTCTTTCCATCTTTATTATAATAATTTCCGATTAGGAAAAGATTTTCTTTATTTTTTTGATATAAAAAAGTCACAGCTTGTTTCAAGAACGGGTTTTTAAATCCAAATTTGAATGTTACCCGTTAGAAATAATTGTACAAAATAATTGAATTAAAATTTGATTTTTTGTAGATATTATATTTTTTTAACAATTAATTTTAATATATCCAAAGGATGTGATTAAATTAATTTTTTAATTTTTTACTCATCTTTCTTATTTCTTGGATTTATTAAAATTAATAATTAGAAAAATATGTCAAACATTTTTACTTTTATACTATTTAAATTGATTCATTCTCTCTCTATAAGAATTAAATTACACAATCAAACTTTTTTAGTTTTATATTTTTTTACTCATTTTGTCCCATTTTTTTTATCTATCTTTTTATTTTGGGGTGTCTCAAAATTATGTCTTTTTTTCTTTTTTGAACATTCAAAACTCTTACTTTTATATTTTAAAATTATATTATATATATTTTTTACTTTTTGACTTTAAAAATTATGAAATTTTAATTTTATAAAAAAATTAATTTTAATATTAAATATATTTAAGTCAAAATTTGTTTCTTAAATTCTGTGAAAATTAATACATCCCAAACATTTCGGGATAGAAGAAATAACTATTAATTTTAATAAATCTAAGAAATGATATTAAACTATTTTTATATTTTTTTTTTTTTTTTGATTATTTTGATTTATTAAAATCAAAATTAAAGGAATATGTGAAACTAAAATAGATGCCCTTTTATGTATTACTAATATTTTAGTAATTTTCCTTGGTTGAAAAATTAGGTCTCATGGTACAAAAAAAGCTCGATTAGGTCAACTTTCTTAACCTGCCGAATCCAATCTGATTAAAATTCAGTGTGTTGGACCAACCCAAGTTATATATTAAGAAAAGGTATTGATCCAACCTAACCCAAAAGGTTTGAGTCAAATCTCAGATTACTGTGGACCCGAATTGCACCTCTGGCACAAATAATTTCGCGATGGATCATAATCCCTCCTGGCTATAGTGAATCAAGCAAAACAAATTTCACTCCAAAAGAATTCATACAAGATTTACAAGAATCGCTCTGAAATGTGCAACTATCCCAGCTTTTTCACCAAATATAAAAGCTTGTAACTATTTGCAAGCGTGCAACCAGAAAACGGTAGTAACAGATGTGGGGGTAAAAAAAGAAGAAAAGATACAACAAATTTAACTACAGAAACAAAGCATGACAATGCAGTAGAAGCAGTACAAACAGCTGGGAGTCCAAACATCTAAAGAAAGGTGTTAACCAAGGTCATCTTCTGCCAGAGAGACTGATTGAGCTGACTTTCATGGGAGTTGCCACAACTAGTGGAGCTTCTGGTGAGTCACTGACAGCAAACTTGTCATGCATGAAACGACTCTCTACAATAGATTCATCCTTCAATACAATCTTGTAGCAATAACAGCTCTTGAGGCCCTGCTGATTCCGGTAGCATTCATGAGCACTGTTCTTTACTTGCTGGAAATCCCATATCACACTGAACTTGCCCACAGTTGCAACTAGGTGACGCTCTTGTTTACCATTCTCAGTGACCTAAAGAGAGTGTGATACACAAGTGAGTTTCAAAAGAAATTAATGTCATGTAGTATCAAAGTTACAAGATGTAACAGCACAAATGGTCATTTAAACCATCCAATGTCAATGAATCACAGGAGGATGGAGAAATTTTGTTTTATTTAATCAAATACACTATGATATTGTACAACTTAAAGCATGCATGATGGCCTAGACCAAGCAACAGAAATTCTAAAACACATGCAGAGGCTCTTCAGGTAAAACAAATATGCCAATGACAAACGCAACGAATATGATGCATTTAGAAGAGTCATAATGAAGAAAAACATCAAGCCAAACACGAATGAAATTATAATGAGATGTTTTTAAGTTTATGACAAATTTCTCAGTGCTGACTTTATCTAAGAACTTTCAGGCCATAGAGAAACCTCAATGGAATATAAAAAAGAAAGCAGATAGACCTAAACATAATACATGAAACATCAAAGGACAAGCACATTATCAAATGAAGTTAAGTTAAACAAGAATCCAAACATAAAGAAACATGACGTAAAGTTGAGCAGACTACCAAATAGAAGTGAAAAAAGGATAGTAGATAACAATTAATAAAGGAATGCATCAGGTATAAAAGGCATTTGATCTTACCCAAGAGAAATGACCACCATGAAATTTATTATTGTTCCCAGCTAGATGTGAATCTAGAGGAGTCAACTTCAATAATCTGGGTGCTGGGATTCTATTCCCCATTCTACCACTAAATCCAGTCTTTGTCTTCCCCTCTTTATCGGTAAACAGAGTGCAAATGAGGATCAGATAAGTATCAGTTGTGCCCAACACCCACTTCCCATCATAGGTAACATCTACATGAGTAATTGGCGAGCCAAGCCCTGGAAAAGCAGTCTTGGCCTGCCTCATTGATGTCTTTGAATACAACCTGATCTTCCCGTCAAGAGACCCAACGACAATTGATCCATCACCAGTACTAGCAAAGCACTGAAAATTAGTCCCTCTTGAGAACTGATGGCCTTGTGTCCAATGCAATACAGGCGAATCACTTGTGTCAATGTTCTGCACCATCCCTTTCCTATCTCTCATATCCCACTGGCACAATCTATTATCATCCAAGCCCAAGAAGGTAGATTCAGATGGATCCAATTGTGATCCTTTGGTATCGTTGGTAATATCTCTCATTGTTATATCAGTCCCATCCTTCTCAAATTTCCATTCTGTAACAATCTT